TTTATCAATTGGTGAATTTTTGAGTAGCCATTTTAACACTGATCATGAAAGAAAAAAGCAACATTTTCGGCATATTATGCTTTATTATTTCAAGAAACATAAAAAAGGACTTGAAACACAAAAAGAAAAATTTGTGTAGTGTATGGAGAAGATGCTGTGACCAACTGAACCTGTCAAAAGTAGTTTGTGAAGTTTCATGCTGGAGTTTTCTAAAGGGACAATGCTCCACGGGTGGGTAGACCAATTGAAGTTGAGAGCAATCAAATTGAGACATTAATCGAGAACTGTCAACGTTACACCATGCAGAAGATAGTCAACATACTCAAAATAGCCAAATCTAGCACTAAAAATCATTTGTACTAGCCTGGTTATGTTCATCACTTAATGTTTAGATTCCACATAAGTTAAGCGAAAAAAACCTTATTATTGAGCATATTTCTATATGCAATTCTCTAATGAAACATAATGAAAAATGTCCTGTTTTTAAAACAAATTGTGACAGGAGATGAAAAGTGGATATTGTACAATAGTGTGGAATAGAAGAGATTATGAGGCAAGTGAAATGAAACACCACCAATCACACCGAAGGTTGGTCTTCATCCAAAGAAGGTTATGCTGTATATATAGTGGGACTGAAACAGAGTCCTCTATTATGAGTTCCTTCCAGAAAACCAAACGATTCATTCCAACAAGTGCTGCTTCCAAGTAAACCAACTGGAGGCAGCAATAGGTGAAAAGTGTCTGTAATCAGTCAACAGAAAACACATCATCTTCCATCAAGATAACACAAGACCACATGCTTCTTTGATGACCAGACAAAAAACGTTACAGCTTGGCTGGGAAGTCCTGATTTCATCCGCTATATTCACCAGACACTGCACCTCCAGGTGTCCATTTATTTTAGCCTTTACAAAATTCTCTTAATGGAAAAAGTTTCAGTTTCCTGGAAGACTGTAAAAGGCACCTGAACAGTTCTTTGCTTGAAAATATAAAAAGTTTTGGGAAGATGGAATTATGAAGTTGCCTGAAAAATGGCAGAAGGTAGTGGAACAAAACAGTAAATATGTTGTTCAGTGAAGCTCTTGGTGAAAATGAAAGACTGTCTTATTTTTTACTTAAAAAACCAAAGGAACTTTTGGCCAACAACATACTATGTGCCAAGCCAAGTACTGAAAACATAGTGATGAGGAAAGTATATATATTCCCTACTCTCAAGGAACTTACTTTTTAGTTCTTTTTAAAAAAATGTATTTATTTGGCTGCACCGGGGCACAGCTGCAGCATGCGAGCTCTTTGATCTTCACTGGGGCATGGGGGATAGCCCTCTCAGAATAGAGGGGCAGGGAGAAAGTTGGTTTCGCTTGTATATTCATTCTTTCATTTGTTCACTCATTTGCACAATGAGCTTGTGAACAAAACACAAAAGCCTCTGCTCTTGTGAAACTTACTAACTGATTCTATGTATTAGATCAGATACAAACCCTATTAATTCTATCTTCTGAACATCTCTCGAACCCATCTTTTTTTCCTCTTTCTTAGGGTGGTCTTCACCATCTTTGGCTGTATTACTGCAATAACTTCCTGAGGTCTGAGAGGTTCTCCCTTGAATTTCTCCCTTCTCCAATCCATCCCTGACACACCCAGCAGTTAAGATTCTAAAACATAAACTTTTTCTTGTTACAGTAGTGCACCCTTATCTGTGGTTTCACTTTCTGCAGTTTCAGTTACCTATGGTCAACCACAGTCTGAAAATATTAAATGAAAAATTCCAGAAATAAACAATTCCTAAGTTTTAAATTGTGTGCCATTCTGAGTAGCATGATGAAATCTCAGGTGGTCCTGCTCCATCCCACCTAAGACATGAATCATCCCTTTGTCCAACCTATCCTGCCCATTAGTCATCTGGTAACCACCTTGGTTATCGGATCCACTGTTGCAGTATCTCTGTGTCTGTGTTCAAGTAACCCTTATTTTACTTAATAACGGCCCCAGAGCACAAGAGTTGTGATGCTGGCAATTCAAACAGGGCCAAGAAGGGCTTCCCTGGTGGCTCAGCGGTAGAGAATCTGCCTGCCGACGCAGGCAACACAGATTCAGTGACTTGTCTGGGAAGACCCCACACGCCGCAGAGCAACTAAGCCCACTGCTACTGAGCCTGTGCTCTGGAGCCCACGAGCCCCAGCTCCGGAGGCCTGTGAGCCCTGAGCCCACGCTCTGCGACGAGGGAGGCCGCCTCAAGGAGAAGCCCACACACCACACCTAGAGAGCAGCCCCTGCTCACCGCACCCACTAACAGAGAAAAACCTGTGGAGCAACAGAGACCCAACACAGCCAAAAATAATAAATGAATTTTTAAAAAAATCAAATATGGCAAAGAGAAGCTGTAAGGTGCTTCCATTAAGTGAAAAGGCAGAAGTCTGCAACTTAATAAGGAAAAAAAATGTAGGCTGAGGTTGCTAAGATCTATGGTAAGAATAAATCTTCTCTCCATGAAATTGTGAAGAAGGAAAAAGAAATTTGTGTTACCTTTGTTGTCATCCCTCAAACTGCAAAGGTTACAGCCACAGTGGATGGTAAGTCTTTAGTTCAGACAGAAAAGGCATTAAATTTATACAGTAAGATATTCTGAGAACGAGGGAAAGAGACCACATTCACATAACTTTTATTACAGAATATTATTATAATCATTCTATTTTATTATTAGCTATTGTTGTTAATTTCATTAAGCCTAATTTCTAAACTAAACTTTATCATAATTACATATAGGATGGATAAACAAAGTCCTACTAGCCCTGGGAACTATATTCAATATTCTGTGACAAACCATAATGAAAAATAATATATATATGTATCTTATTGAGTCACTTTGCTGTACAGAAGAACGGCAACATCGTAAACCAACTATACTTCAATAAAATTTTTTTAAAAAATAGTATACACAGGGTTTGGTACTATCTGAGATTTCAGGTATCGACTGAACATCCTGGATACATCCTCCTAAAGGGTATGGGGAACTAGTTTCGGGATGATTCAAAAGTATTACATTTACTGTGCACTTTATTCACATTATTATTACATCAGTTCCACCTCAGATCATCAGAGGTTGGGGACCCTTGACCTACAGGACAAGGTACAGATTCCTCTGCATATGCTACAGAGCTTTATGTGATTTGGTCCCAACTTGGCCTCATCTATCTCAATTCACTTCTGACATTTTCCAAATAATATCACTCCTTTGTGCCTTTAGGGCTTTCCTCAGTTGGTAAAGAATCCGCCTGCAATGCAGGAGACCCTGGTTTGATTCCTGAGTCGGGAAGATCTGCTGGAGAAGGGATAGGCTACCCACGCCAGTATTCTGGCCTGGAGAATTCCATGGACTGTATAGTCCATGGGGTTGCAAAGAGTTGGACACAACTGTGCGACTTTCACTTTATGCCTTTGCACATGCTTTTTTCTTTGCTTCAAACATCCTTCCAACCTCCTTTCTGTCTACACCTTTATTTATTAAATGCATTTAACAACAAGTTACTCTGTCAAGTTTTCTCCCACTTCCTAAAAAGTAATGTGTTTTTGTCTATTTCCTTCCTTTAATGAATGGTAAGAATCATATCTTTTCATTTATTTCCTGGAACTTGGTATGGTGTCTGACATTTATCAAGGGCCCATGGAAGAAGGTAGAAGTGTAGTATTCTCAACTATTTCCCCTCAGAGTTAAAAGGGGGAGGGGGGCGGGGAGGGACAAAGAATATCCAATTTTCAGCCATCCAGCAAGGCTGCCAACCTGTCATAAAACACACGTGTTGATCTATAAACTGATGAATCATATGTTAAAGGCAGTCTGGACCAAACAATACAGCGGTTCCAAACTGACTTCACAGAACAAGAGTCACATAAACACTCAGTAAAGTCTGTCTAGTTTGAAAATACTCCTAGGTGATTCTGATATGCTGCCTTTCCCCACTAATTGGCAATCACTCCGATAACAGTTGAAAAACCTGACGTTGTTTGTGAACTCTGGTGTCTCTGCAGAGATAATTGTAATAATGCCAAGGAGTAGAGAGTAAAGTCTTCTGGGCAAAAAATTATCTTAACGCTGAGAAGAAAAATTATCACCACAGAGAATTTCAGGGCTTAGAATAAGCTCAGAGGTATAAGTGGTTAATCTTAACAGCTAGCAGTGACATCAATCTACGCTGGTCAGATCTCTGCACTATCACCATGGGGACCAGCAAAGCACTCCAGTCCTCTTGTCAGGACAGCCCTCTTCCTGGACGTTGGTGGAGAATTCTGTCTCTCTTCCCACACTGATCATTCTTTTTCTCCTACATTTTTTCCTTCCTACACTGACCATTTTCTTTCTATTAAAACTTCAATTTCTTTAAATATGTCACCTTCATTAGATAGGGTGCAATCTAGTCTGCCTGGACCAGCAAAATATTCTGTCTTTTAAAGGAGGTTTCTGCAAATATTAAATTCCTCCTTTATATGGTACTCATACAGTTTAACTTCACATTTCTAAGAGTATTTCACTACCTACTCAAAGGATTGCTTATAAAAATATAATTTGACTTATAAATCATTAAGCATAGGAATTCTCTGGGACTGCTTCTTCATCTCACGATAGTTCTATAGTATCTTCCAATAAGCTACTGATGAGGGTACGAGATGAAAGTCTCGTGGGAATGCCAGATAGCATATATAAAGGATCATGGTAACCACTATGTTGTTTGCCTCAATGTATGACCTTAATAGTCTTCTAGATTAGTTTTCTCTTTTCTTCCAGTAAAGGAACTCTGCCAGTAAAGACGTGACACTGCAAACAGGCAGGAATACCCTAGCAGTCCAATGGTTAGGACTTCGAGCTTCCACTACAGGGGGCATAGGTCTTGATCTCTGGTTGGGGAACTAAGATCCTGGAAGTGACATGGCAGAAAATGAAATGGAATGGCTACAAAAATAACTCAGCAATGAATGACAGAGGACAAAGTGAAGTCACATACCCATAAAGCAACTGTCTGAAGCTTCGTGCCATGCTTGCCCATTAATGCTGACGTTCTCTTGCACAGCTGATTCAAAAGTCTGCAATAAAGTCACAAAAATCAAGTCACTGAAAATAACTTTAAATACTGAATTCAAACATTTGGACAAGTCAGATTTGTGATAGAGAATATATAAAAAAGTAGACGACTAGATTACTAGCATGCTTATGCTTTTCAATGAAGTGAGATTCCATTTCAATCAATTACTCTACCTACATTTTAGTAACAACAGCCATTAAGCTACCCATGAGAAAATGTGAGGAAAAGTTTTAGAATACTGGTACCAAAAAAAAAAAATTAACTTCTTAAATGAAAGGAAAACAAGCTAACAAACTGGGCTCAAATGAATCTCAAGGGTATAAGTAATACATTTGCTGCTGAATGAGGGTCAGTGTTAACAAGTGGGAAAATACACAGGCTTAAAAGAAAGTGAAATTAATTTCTACTTTACAACAGACTATTTTTTTTGGGGGGGGGGACTGCGTTGGGTCTTAGTTGCAGCACGTGGGATCTTCGCTGCATCACTGGAGATCTTTCACTACGGCAGACGGACTTACACAGACTCTAGCTGTGGCACTTGGGATCAGGGTTTCGGTGCTCGGGCTTAGTTACTCTACTGCATGTGAGCTCTTCCCGGACTTGGGGTTGAACCCACATTCCTTGCATTACAAGGCAGATTCTTAACCACTGGACCACCAGGGAAGTACTAGGACTCTTTTTTTTTGAGATGTACTTTGAAGTAGGTAATGATGAAATGACAGGAGAGATGCAATTTGCTTTAAAACAGAAGTGTAACATATTTTTGATAACTGCTAAATTTGGTAATAGACATATGGATGTTCACTGTGCTAGTCTATTTTTTTGTAATGTTAAAAATGTTCATAATACATTAAAAAGTAAAAAACTAAAGAAATTTGATGGTATCATCCAAATTTTAAATGCACATTCCCTATAGCCTAACAATTTCACGTCTATCAATATAACCTAAAGGACCATTCTCATAAAAACATAAAGAAAATAAACTGAGAATGCTTATTTCAGTTTGAAATTTTGAAATATTGAGGGGAAAATATCTAAATTCAAAACTAGGAGGGTGGCTAAATATACAATATACCCATATCATACAATACTAAAAGAATGAAGTACATCTCTATATAACATTAACAAATAATAATCAAAGACATATTCGGTTTTTTAAACAAAAAGCAGGATGTTATCAGCATGACACTATAAGTATTAAAAAAAAAAAAAAAAAAGAACAGTTTTTAAAACAGAGAGATAGCTTTAAAGCCAAAAAGGAGAAGGATTATACCCTCCAAAACAGTAAGTTATTTCCAAGAAGGAAGAGGGTTAGTGGAGAGGAAAGATTTTTGCTTTATGCTATTTTTCATAGTGAGAATACATTTTATAAATTAAAAATAAGCTTAAAATTATCCTTCAATTTAAAAATAAATTTTTAAAAAAGGAAAAAATAAGCTTAAATGATGACTGATAATTATGAGTTAGAGTATGTATTCTATACTTTAAAGATTTTTATAAAGTAAAATCCTTACTCTATCCAACTCTATTCAAGAATTATCCAATAATATAAATTGTCTTTTTAATATTCATTGCATAGTTGTATCAATTTTTTTTAAATGTTACTTTATTAATTACTAGAGAAATGCAAATCAAAACTACAGTGAGGTATCACCTCACACCAGTCAGAATGGCCAACATTAAAAAGTCTACAAACAATAAATTCTGAAGAGAATGCACTGTACTGTTGGTGGGAGTGCAAATTAATACAGATACTGTGGAGAACAATATGAAGGTTCCTTAAACAACTAGGAATAAAACTACCATTTGACCCAGCAATCCCACTACTGGGCATATACTCTGAGTAAACCATAATTCAAAATAACACATGTACCTCAATATTCACTGTAGCATTATTTACAACAGCCAGGACAGGGAAACAACCTAGGCATTCACCTTCAGACCAAAGGATGAAGAAGTTATGGTACATATATACAATGGAACATTACTCAGCCATAAAACCAAACAAACTTGAGTCAGCTGAACTGAGGTGGATGAACCTAGAGCTCGTTATACAAGTGAAGCGAGTCAGAAAAGAGAAATAAATGTCATATATTAACGCATATATATGGAATCTAGAAAAATGGTACTGATGAACCTATCTGCAGGGCAGGAACAGAGACACATGCAGAGAACGGACCTGTGCACACAGCAAGGGAAGGCAGGGATGGGATGGATTGAGAGAATAGCACTGACACACATAACCTACCACGTGTAAAAGAGCTGGTTAAAAATCCACCTGCCAATGCAGGGAACATGGGTTCAATCCCTGGTCTGGGAAGAGCTCACATGCCCTGGAAGCTGCTATATAATACACAGAGTTCAGCCTAGTGCTCTGTGACTACCCAGAGGGGTGGGAAGGCAGGGGTGTGGTCTAGTGGGGTAGGGATTGGGAGAGAGATTCGAGAGGGAGGGGATATATGTATACTCAGGGCTGATTCACGTTGTTGAACAGCAGAAACCAACACCGCACTGTAAACCAATTATCCTCCAAATAAAAAATAAATTCCATGGTAGCTGAATAATGGCCCCCAGAGATGTCTGCATTCTAGTTCCCAGAACTTGTGAATATGTCATCTTACACGGAAAAAAAGGGAGATTTTGCTGGATGTGATGAAGGATCATGAGATGTGGACAGTGTGTTTGATTATTCAGGTGGGCCCAATGTAATCACAAGGGTCCATACCAGAAAAAAAAAGGGCAGGAGTGTCAAAATCAGAGGGAAGGGGTGTGTGAGCAGAAGTCAGAGTGATGTGCTCAGAAGATGAAGGAAGGAGACATGAGTCAAGCAGTGCAGCCTCGCCAAAGAACTAAACAGACATTTCTCCAAGGAAGACATACAGATGGCTAACAAACACATGAAAAGATGCTCAACATCACTCATTATCAGAGAAATGCAAATCAAAACCACAATGAGGTACCATTATACACCAGTCAGGATGGCTGCTATCCAAAAGTCTACAAGCAATAAATGCTGGAGAGGGTGTGGAGAAAAGGGAACCCTCTTACACTGTTGGTGGGAATGCAAATTAGTACAGCCACTATGGAAAACAGTGTGGAGATTTCTTAAAAAGCTGGAAATAGAACTGCCATATGACCCAGCAATCCCACTTCTGGGCATACACACCGAGGAAGCCAGATCTGAAAGAGACACGTGCACCCCAATGTTCATCGCAGCACTGTTTATAATAGCCAGGACATGGAAGCAACCTAGATGCCCATCAGCAGACGAATGGATGAGGAAGCTGTGGTACATATACACAATGCAATATTACTCAGCCATTAAAAAGAATTCATTTGAATCAGTTCTAATGAGATGGATGAAACTGGAGCCCATTATACAGAGTGAAGTAAGCCAGAAAGATAAAGACCATTACAGTATACTAACACATATATACGGAATCTAGAAAGATGGTAACGATAACCCTATATGCAAAACAGAAAAAGAGACTCAGATGTATAGAACAGACTTGTGGACTCTGGGAGAAGGCGAGGGTGGGATGTTTCAAGAGAACAGCATCGAAACATGTATATTATCTAGGGTGAAACAGATCACTAGCCCAGGTTGGGTGCATGAGAGAAGTGCTCGGGCCTGGTGCACTGGGAAGACCCAGAGGGATCGGGTGGAGAGGGAGGTGGGAGGGGGGACCGGGATGGGGAATACACGTAAATCCATGGCTAATTCATTTCAATGTATGACAAAAACCACTGCAATGATGTAAAGTAATTAGCCTCCAACTAATAAAAGTAAATGGGAAAAAATAAAAAAATAAAAAAATAAAAATAAAAATAAAACAAACATGAAAAGCCAAAAAAAAAAAAAAAAAAGAAGTGCAGCCTCCAGGAGCTGGGAAAGGCAAAGGCAGCGATACACCCTAGAGCCTGCAGAAGAAATGCAGCCCTGCCAGCACACTGACGTTAGGACTTCTGCCCTCCAGAACTGTCAGAGAATACCTTTCTGTCGTTGTAAGCCACTCAGTGTGGTAACTTGTTACCTCAACAATAGGAAATGAATACACTGTCCACATCCTCTATCTCTGTTGTTTTTGGATTGTTATTTTCAATCTCTGTCCCAGCCCACTACCCACGCCCAGTATAAATAAATTAAAATATTAAAAAAAAAAATACACAGGACTTTCCTAGTGGTCCAGTGGATAAGAATCCGCCTGCCAAGTCAGGGGACACAGATTTGATTCTTGGCCTGGGAAGAGTCCACACGCTGTGGGCTAACTAAGCCGGTGCACCTCAAGTCTGTGTTCTGTGAGAAGAAACGCCGCTGCCATGAGAAGCCCGCCTGCCACAGCCAGAGGGAGCCTGAGCACAGCAATGAAGACAGCGCAGCCAAAATTAACCAACTGAGTTTTCAAAGCCTTAAATAAATAAGTCTACCAATTGTAAGTGCCACTCTCTTTCATGATTGGTGGGAATGTAACTTGATACAGCCACTATGGAAAACAGTATGGAATTTCTTCAAAAAATTAACAGTTGCCATATGATCTGCATCCTACTCCTGGGCATATATCTGGGGAAAAGTACTAAATAAAATTTGAAAAGATATGCAGGACTTCCCTGGTGGTCCGGTGGTTAAAAATCTGCCCACCAATGCAGGGGACATGAGTTCAATCCCTGGTCTGGGAAGATCCCACATGCCATGAGGCGACTAAGTCCATGCACCACAGCTACTGAGCTTGCGCTCTGGAATCGAGGAACTGCAACTCCTGAGACCACACACCACAGCTACTGCAGCCCGCATGCCCTAGAGCCAGTGCTCCACAAGAGAAGTCACCACAAAGAGAACTCCAAGCATAGCAACGAAAGCGTAGCTACCACTCGCCGCAAGTAAAGAAAGTCCTCGCGCAGCAACAAAGATCCAGCCAAATACAAAAATAAATAACTTAAAAATAAAAAAAAAAAAGATACGCATCCCAGTGTTCACTGCAGCACTATTTACAACCACCAAGACATGGAAACAACCCAAATGTCCATCGACAGATGAAGCACAAAGACATGGTACACATACACAATGGAATATTCCTCAACCGTAAAAAAGAGGAAAGAAAGCCGTCTGCCACAACATGGATGGACTTGTAGATTATCATATTAAAGTGAAGGAAGTCCGACAGAGAAAGATATATGATATCATTTATATGTAGAATCTAAAATATGACACAGAAGAACGTGTCTATGAAACAAAGTCACAGACATAGAGAAGAGATTTGTGGGTACAAAGCAGGAGGTGGGTGGGAGAAGGATGGATTAGAAGTTTAAGATTAGCAGATGCAAACTTTTACGTGTAAAATGGATAAACAACAAGGTCCTCATGTATATCAGAGAACTATATTCAATATTCTGTGATAAGCCATAATGGAAAAGAAAGCATACATATGTATAACTGAATCATTTTGCTATACAGTAGAAATCAACACAACATTGTAAATCAACTATACTTCAATAAATTTTTAAAAAAACTATCACAAAAAATGTTACTATATTAAGTGGTTTTAGATAGAGATGTCAACATTACTGAAGCCTCCGCCTTTTATCTGTTTTCTTAATTAAAACACAAGTGAATTCCCTTGGTAGTTTAAGTCTTCACATCTTTTATCTTCAAATTTACTTTCTCATCCATTAATAAAGTATAATTGGTTAAGCCAAGTTCCTCTTTTCCTGTAAGGAGAATTAATGTTCTAAGTACCTTAGCACTTCCTGGAAAGGGGTAAATTCTAAGATCATTACACAAAGAAAACAAGTCGTCTCCCACAAAATTACTACTACAAATGCCCTCAGGTATGTCTCTATCCTTCTCTTGCTAGCAAGCGGGGAATGATATAAAAGTCAATGTATACAACACTGAACACAGAATCACAACCCGGGGAGTGTTCCTACATTCTTCACCCACTTAACCTTTATTTTGTTTGCACTGTGGTCAGTAAAACTGTACTGCATTACATTTTAACATTTTCCCCTGTATATAAATAGGTTGTGTGCTTTCTTCAGACTAGCACAAATCCCTCAATTTGTGTCTTCCCCCACCCCTCATCTTCTACAGAGCTTTGCAAAATACTTGAGAAAGGAAGGGGAAATGGATTATAAGGGTCAGTGTGATCTTAGTGAAGTTTATAATGGAAAGCTTCCTTACCTATTTTAGACTCGTAGGGAAAATGTTTTCGCTCTCTTTACAAGATACTCTAAAAGCAAGCAAAAACAAAGACCAAAAGCTGGCCTGGTGACGGACTTCCAGGATTCTCCTTACTGAGTCTCTGTCTACACCATCCAACAGGGGACAATCCAGCCACTTGGTGGCTGTTGAGGCCTTAAAATGTAGCTAGTGGAAAAGGACATGAGGTGTTAAGTTTAAGACAAACGTGAAAAGCTTGGTATGAACCAAAGAATGTAAACTACCTGTTCCTTTTTTTAAATTATTACAAGTTAAAATGGTATCTTGGACACAGTCCGTTAAATAAATATCATAAAAATTAATTTAACCTATTTTTTTCCTTTAATTTCAAGTGACATACATGGCTCGCCTTGCATTTTTCGGTCGGACAGCACTGGTCTAAGTTAACTAACAACACCCAGCTGCCTCCAGCATCTGTCTCGTTCCCTCGCGTTCCCCGGGGCACGTTAAACTCTGCCCAAGCCGGCCGTGGGCTCCTCCTGACCACTGAGACCGGGGTGTGGAGAAAGCGGGTGAAAAGACAAGAGACGGCTACTGGGCCCGTACCCACTGCGCATCTCGCAGCGCGGGCTCCCGAATCTCCTCAGGCAGCGCGTCCCCGAGCTTTTGCACGAAGCTGCTGCACAGTTCTAGCATTTCCGTCACGGCTCGCTTCGAGGTGCAGCGCACACGGAAGTCTTTTCGGTGTGTGGCAGGGACCGAGGCCCTGTTTTCTGGCCCAGCCACTCTCCCCAAGTCCCGCGAAGAGGAACGAGTCACCGACCCAAAGGCCCGCTCCATCTTTCCAACTTGAACTGTGGGCGGGAACTCGGAGGGCGGAAGGGCGGGTTCCCCGGGAGGAAGGAGCACCCGTCCGGCCGGAAACTCAACCCAACGCGGCATCTGCGTTCCGGCTGAGGCTCCGCCGGCGAGTCCACGGGTTTTGGAGGCTGCGAAGATGGGGGCGGTGGGCCTAGGGCTGGTGGACTGTCACTGCCACCTCTCCGCCCCGGACTTTGACCACGTACGTGAGGGCGAGGTCGGGCCCGTGGGAGCGGGGCGCCCCCCGTCCTTTACCCTTCGAGTTATCCTCCCATGGGGCGAAGTTCCACGCGTAATGTCAACGTGTTTTACCTGCTACATTGGAAGCCAGAGGCTAGTATTAGAGAAAGAAGAGGGGGTTCTGTTTTGGCGGACACCTCTCAAGAGGTGACCCTTAAGTTGGGGAAGAAGGACTAAGCGATGGGTGCATGGTGGTGAGGAAAGCAGGCGGGTCGCAGGCCTCCAGACAGGACAGAATTTGGCACATTCAAACTCTCGAAAGGCTGGCTGGCGTCCGATGAGCTAAAAAGAGAGAAGCATAAAATCGGACTGAAGTTTGCATAGGAACGGTGAGGCACGAATTCGCATTTCGTTAGAATCACAATGGGGATCCTGTAAAATGCTTTGTTGGATGGTAGGGTGGTTGAAGGAGAGAGACGTGATCTGATAATCCATCTAAAAACCTTTCTGCTGATGTGTGGGTAAATGGATAGAGGAGAGCAAGGGTTAGAAGTTAGAAAACCGGTTTGAAGGCTTTTGCAGTGTTGAGACTAAAGATGATAGAGGTTGCAGGAGAGTTGCAAGGGAGAGAAGCAGATGGATTCAGTTATATTTTGGAGATCGATTCTAAAGTACATACTGAGAAGAATTGGATGTGCAGAGAGAGAGGAAGAACTTGAGGATGCTGTAGAGAGATGGTGGTGCTGTTTACTGAGATGAGGGAAAACAGGTTGGAGAAGGCAGAAGGAACAGATTTGTTGGGGAGAAAATAGTTATGCTTGGCACATGTTGAAATCTGATGTCCATCCAAGTGGAGATGTCATATGGTCATTTTAAAACGTGAATCTTGGGTTCAGGAGAGAATTACAGACTGGAGATAAAAATTGAGGACTCACTAGCATAATGAGTATAGTAAGGAGATCACCTAACAGGAAGTACACAGAGAGAAGCCTACGGTCCTGAAATCAGAGGAGAGAGAGCCAGTCGAGGAGGCTTGATAAGTAGCCGACAGCTAGAGAGAAGTGTTTGCAGAAGCCAAGAGTAGAAAATATTTGGGGAAGAAAAGAGTAGACAAGTGAGGAGTTTCTAATGCTGCTGAAGGGTAGAGTAGGACAGAGAAGTGTCTTTTATATTTAACGATAACAGTTTCTGTTCCACTAGAGTGGGAACATAAGCCAGAATTTACTGAGAGATCAAATGGAAGGTGGGTCAGCTAGGCTCATCACACCACCCTGTTCCTTGCCATCATTGTCATCTTTATGGTGCCTCAACTGCATTGGTTGATGCATTGGTTGCATCTAAAATAATCATGATTACTTATGTTCATTTTAGGATCTGGATGATGTGCTGGAGAAAGCCAAGAAAGTAAGCCAATAGCTATACATGCTCTTTTTTATTTTCCTACTAATTTTGATCTAAGATAGCTTGAAATTTAGATATAATATGTTGATGTTGCTTCAGTAAAAAACACATTAACAATAACCAGCATCTATTGTTTGCTATGTGCCAGGCCCTGAACTAAGCCCACTCTGTACATTATCTCATTTAATGTTACTCAACAACCTTCTAAGGAAGCTACTATTTTATAGCCAACCATTACCTGTTTTATAGATGAGGAAACTAAGGCCTAGATTAACTTGTCCAAAGACGCATCACTAGTAAAGTGATACAGACAAGATAGTCTGAATCCAGAACACATGCCCACAGCCACCAGGCATGCCAGCTATATAGAACTGGTTGGTCCGTCTGTCAGTTCTTAAATTAGCCTTATTCTAAAGATCTTGGAAAAATTATAAAAGTTTTCTGAAACACTTTGAGTTGTTTGGGGGAAATTGTTAATTTTTGGAAGCATTTATGAAATTCATTACAACCAGCATTTTGTGGTCTTCCTTGAAAGTTATAGAAATGGTTGCCATTTTCATATATAGCCGTCTTTCATTACTGCAATTTAATTATGAGTGTGGTATTTGGAGTAACATAGGCCTAATGATCTTGGGCAAGTTATTTGACTCCATCCAAATGTCTCTTGATCCATACAATGGATTACAGCAATGCCTATGTCAAAAGGGTGTGCAGATTAAATGGGGTAATATTTATATTCACTGAACATAGTGCCCAAAACATAGTAGCTAATTAGTGATAGCCATTATGATTATATTGATGGAGTGTGAGTGAGCAAGGATAACTAAAAGCACAGAAAACTTTAAATTTTTATTTAACTGTAGTGGATGTATATTGTTTGAGACCCTAACTGTTCTATTCATTTTTGTTTCAGGCCAATGTTATGGCTCTTGTGGTGGTCGCTGAACATTCAGGAGAATTTGAAAAGATTATGCAGCTTTCAGAAAGGTGCTACTTCTCATTTGAAAATAGAATTGCTATTAAGGATGCATTTATGGTGCCATGTTTATAATATCAAAGATCATCCATTTTAAAGAGAATGAGAAGGGAAAAAAATTACATTAACAGCCTTAAAAAAATTATTTCCTACTTGTTCTTCAGAGTAACATTGTCTCCTAGTCTAATAATCCTGCTTTCTTAATTCATTCTACATTTTTAGGTATAAGGGGTTTGTCCTGCCATGCTTGGGTGTTCACCCAGTTCAAGGAGATTCACCAGAAGACCAAAGAAGTGTCACATTAAAGGTAATAGTCTTAAAAAAAAAAAAAAGTCATAGTCTTATAAAACAGGAGCCATAAAAAAATGGTATTACCCTTTGACTCAGTAATCCTCCTCTTTCTGATTTTTATTCTAAAGCAATAATCCAAAAGAAAGAAATTCTATCTTCTTTCACAAAGAGGTTTCAGTTCAGTTCAGTTCAGTTGCTCAGTTGTGTCCGACTATGCGACCCCATGGATTGCAGCACGCCAGGCCTCCCTGTCCATGTAATAGAGGAAAAGTGGGAACAGCCTAGCAGTTCAAAAATAAATAATTAACTTATACAGTGTTAAATATGATGCTACAATGTTAAATATAACTTTATAGAAAATGTGGGTTATAAGGTATATGTGCATGAGTGCTAGGTCATTTCAATTGTGTTCAACTCTTTGTGACCCTATGGACTGTAGCCCGCCAGGCTCCTCTGTTAATGGGATTTTCCAAGCAAGAATCCTGGAGTGGGTTGCAATGCCTTCCTCCAGGGGATCTTCCCCAGCCCAGGGATTGGACCCACATCTTCTGCGTCTCCTGCATTTTGGGCAGACTGTTTACCCACTGAGCCATACATTGGCTCCTGTCCCTACTTAACCTACTTCACTCATTTCTGTTAAAAGCCTGACCCCTGTTCTAAAGGTTCTAAAGACTAAATATTTTCTTTAATAAAAAATAAAATCAATTCGAATTATTTTAAATCAGTCAGAATAAATCCCTTCTCCCTCCCCTTTGCCCTTCCTTTCCTTCTCTCTCCCTTCCTCTTTGAACAACATAGTGGAAACATCATAAGCTTTGAAGTCAGAGAGACTTGGCCTGCTGCCTCCTGCGATCTATGGCACTTAACTTTGCCAGATCTCCGTTTCCTCATGTGTAAATGCTGAATAATTATTTGCAGTATTCCCAGTCATAGAGTATAAAGGTATAGGATATTTAAAAACCCTACAATAGAACCATTAGCTATTAAGGAACTTGAGATCTTATGGAGGAAGTAGGAATAGCGCTAAAGTCAGAGATAGACCTATGAATGTCCTTTGAAATATTTTTACATGTATTACAATGTTAAAGACCACATATATTTATACATTTTAGTGATATGAATTAGTATTTCTATAATTTACTATCCTTGACTTGCCAGAAACTTCCAAATTATTTCATGAAGAATTGAAATAGTCTCATTGTAAGTTTGTTTTCCTGTTTTTATAGATAATACATATACCCTCAGAAAGATTTTTTCCCTACATCTGGTCTTCATCCAAATGTGTAATTTCTTTGTCTTAAGATTTTCTAAGTGTGCTACATTTCCTGGGTAATCTCTCCAACTTCTCCAGACCCTTTGAGGTCCCAGACACACAGATTAGTTTGAACGTTTGATACAGAAGATCTTTTCCTGACACTGACCTACTCAGCTGTTGCCAGACAGGTAACTAGGGTCATATATGCTTAGCTCCTCTTGACAATATTATTTCTTCTTCATTGAGTCTACTGGAATTGTAAGGCCTTGATTTATCCTCCCTCATCTTCTTTTCTCTCTCTTGAGGCATAATTATAAATCTTCTCCTGTTCCTCAACCATCTGTTTTACCTCCCTTTTCTTAATTCTCCTTTTTCTGATTATTCTCACTAGAAGTTCTTTGACTTTATATACTCTGAGACTGAAATCCTCAAAGTAATTTAAAATATCTAGAAGCAAATTTTCCACATATTTGTTTTTCTCTTGCCTTACAAGAAAACCCTTACAAGAGAAATTCTTTCTCTTTTTATAATTTTTAAAATTTTTTCTTTATTTTTTATTAGTTGGAGGCTAATTACAATATTGTAGTGGTTTCTGCCATACATTGACATGAATCAGCCATGGATTTACATGTGTTCCCCATCCTGAACCCCCATCTCATCCCTCCGGGTCTTCCCAGTGCACCAGCCCTGAGCACTTGTCTCATGCATCCAACCTGGACTGACATCTCTTTCACACTTGATAAGATACATGTTTCAGTGCTATTCTCTCAGATCATCCCACCCTCGCCTTCTCCCATAGAGTCCAAAAATCTCTTCTATACATCTGTGTCTCTTTTCCTGTCTTGTTATCGTTACCATCTTTCTAAAGGAAATTCTCTTTAAGTGGAAATAGTGCGGAAACTAGTAGTACACAGTTACTTCAGTAGTTGATAAACAAGGATATACATGATATTTAGTATTTATATTGTTGAAACTTTAAGACAAAAATAGGGTATGTAGAACTATAAAGATGAAATCAGTGAAAATAGTGGAAAAGATGTTTGGGATTATCACTATTAAAATTCACAAGTCATTCATTCGTATCCTAAGAGGAGAATATAACAGTGCACTTCCAGACTCACCAAGGTGACCACCTGGTGGCTTTATTCTTTCTTGCTCAGCTATTCCAGGAAATCCAGATCACTCCTCCTGAATACCAGGTAGTACCTCCTAAATAGAAGGAAGTGTTTAAGTGGGAATCTTCATGAGAAGTAATGTTCTTGTAACTAATTGGGTATGGGACATTTCTGCTCAAATTTCCAGCTAGAATTACTCACCATTATAGAAGGATTACCATTCCTAGTTCCTCAACTGGGTAAAGGATTTGTATGTAAAGGACCCAGCATAGCATAATGCCTAGCATATAATAGGTGTTGGTACAAAACCTATGAAATTCCTCGCCTTCTATTTGGATGAATTTACTTTTTTTTTTTCCATCCCAGGATTTGGATGTAGCTTTGCCCATTATCGAGAATTATAAGGATCAGTTATTGGCAATTGGAGAGGTAAATATCCATTAGCTGATAAGTGATTTCTAATCCAGACCTCCATGTAATACATAAAAGCAGTCCTTAATTCAGTGTTGGTGATTATAACAGACTTAGATAATTATGTTCACCCTGCTCAACTGAATAGTAACTTGTCAGTACTTCCTCAGTAAGCAAAAGCACTTAGGGATAAAACAATAGAACGCCTCCCCATGGGCTTGTTAATGGAAGAAAACTGCTTTATTAACATTTCAATATACTTTGCTTTTTTTTCTTTTGCTTAAATAAGGGCATCTCTCTGGTTAGTTGAAATAGTATGTACAAGCATACTTCAAATATTAATAGGTTAGAGTTTATAATTTTAAAACCTTTTTATTAAATAATATACAGTTGTGAAACATTTTATCACTTGGTAATTCCACTTGTAAAGATAAAAGATAAGAGTAACACATTCAGAATATAGCTTATAGCAGTGGATGCCAAAATAGCATCAAGGGAAGCAGTCCTTTATAATCATGACTGTCCAGCATGGTGACCACATGCAGCTATTGGCCCTTGAATTGTTACTGGCGCAAACTCATGTGTGCTGTCAGGATAAAATGCACAGAGGATTTCAAAGTCTCAGTACCTCAAAAAAAAAAATGTAAAATAACTCAATAATTTTACATTGGTTATGTGTTGAGATAATAATATGAATGACTATAATTTGATAATGTTTTAGGAATAGTGAATTAAAGTATATTATTAAAATGAATTTCACCAGTCTTGTTAGTGTTTTTAATGTGGCTGCTGGAAACTGTAAAGTTGTATATGTGGCTTGTGTATATGACTCATATTTCTCTTGGATAGTACTGCTCCATCATCTGTCTTTTGGGATTCATTAAACCATAAACATGATTCTGTTTTATTTTTCTGTTATAGGTTGGACTGGATTTCTCCCCCAGATTTGCTGGCACTGATGAACAGAAGGAAGAGCAAAGACAAGTCCTAATCAGACAGGTCCAGTTAGCCAAAAGACTAAATTTGCCTTTGTAGGTTAATTGTCATCTTTCTATATTAATAGTTTTAAAGTACATTATTGATAAATAATGATTCTCCTGAAATGGAGCTCTACTTTTATTTTTTTCTTAACTACTTTAATAGATCAAAAATAACATGTTCATAGTAAATACTTAAAAGGAGTTTTTTTGTTATTAAACAGAAATGTTCACTCACGCTCAGCCGGAAGACCTACCATCAGCCTCTTAAATGAGCAAGGTATGTAGGTTCCTGAAAAAAATGTTCCTAATGTTTAAACTTGACAATTCCAGTCCATGTTCTCATAGAACAAGCCATATTTATTTGTTTTCTTAAAGGGAAAGAAAAGGGTCATGGGTAGAGATGGAAATCAATTAAGATGGTTTTGCAAGTCAGCCTACTATTTACAAGGTTTTCAGTGTGATTGTAATGTTCATCAGGCCAGGAAAAAGCGAATGAAAAATTAGATCAAGTAAAATAAATAAATAAAAATTTTTTAAATTGGACCAAGTAATCTTTAGTGCCTTCATTTAAAAATTAGCAGCTCCAGTTTTTTAAGCAGCTTAACCAGCTGATTGGTGAGAAAGAGGAAAACACACAGCAAAGAAGGGTAATCGCATTGGGGTTACTGTTTTGCCTGTTTTGTAGCTGCTGCTTCAGAAAGTGGCATTATTCAGATGTGGCCATCATACATAAAATGCACTGTCATCTTCACCAGTTGTTCCTAAAGGAAAAACACTTCTCATAGGATTACTTTTCAAATTTTAAAGTGAAATTTTTAAAATTTCTTCTTACAGTAAGAAATGTAGTTTATTTTGAAACTTGGTATAGACTCATATAGAAAACTGACAGAAGTTTTCGAAGCAGTACATCTGTATGTATGTGTGTATAGGTATATGTGTGTGTATGTGCATGTGTATGTATTTATTGAATATAAGCACACGCTGGCCAGTCATGACCCACAAAGTTGATTTCATAACTCACAGTTGTAACCCACTAAATGTCACACCTGCCATTTGAAAAAACAATATCAAAAAGTGAGGTAAACGTAATTGCCTACAACTTGAAAGCATTGTACTTCTCACTGGGGAGTACTGAATCCCTTGGGATCACTGAGAGCGTGATTTTTATGGAGGCTGAGCAGCCTTGCTTTGAGAACTGGAAGTAGTTTTTGGGAAACCTACTCTGGCTGTTGAATTTGTGAATCATTCAATTCCTCATTTCCAGTAGCATCCTTCTTAAGGAGAGTTTGACCACTTAAAAACCTGTTAGGAACAATAATTTGAGAGTTCACAAACTTTAAGAAGGTTTCATATGAGAAGTTTAAATAATTGTTTAAAATTTGTTTCAATTTTATTTACTTATTCTGCAGATTAAGAATTTACTATATTTTTATTCTACTGGTTGAACACTGTACATTTATCTACCCTTTAGAAACCACAGAACCTTCTAGTGACCAACATTTACTTAAAATCTGTGTTGTTCAATTTAATTAGTGGGAAAACCTTTCATGAAGGAAATGAAATGAACTCTGATTTAATTTTTGAGAGGTGCTGACAAAGTGTTGCTGCATGCGTTTGACGGTCGGCCATCTGTGGCCATGGAAGGAGTAAAGGCTGGGTACTTCTTCTCAATTCCTCCTTCTGTCATAAGAAGTGAGCAGGTAAAATCTTTCATTAAACTTCATCCTACACTTTGTGAAATAACACTTTAAAATATGAACTTTTACTTTGCTGTCATGACCTTTTACTGTTCAGTACTGTTTATGTTACTGTACTGTTGTGTACTATTCTGGTTTCATTACAAAAGTTAATCCTAGGTCCCTACCTCATACTTACATCAAGAGTAACTCATAAATGGATCAGAGACCTAAATGTAAGAGCTGAAATTACAAAACTTTTAGAAGAAAACAGATCTAAATCTTTGTGACCATAGATTAGGCAGTGGTTTTCTTTGTCATGACACCAAAAGCACTAACAACCACAGAAAAAAATAGATAAATTGGATCCACACACAAAAAATTGGGCAGCTCATGCTCAAAAGACCTGAACTCCCTGGTAGCTTTCAGAAAAGTGTTTTGAAAGGCTGTGTGAGGGAGAAGGCTGAGGGCATGTCATCAGCCTGTACTCAGTTCTCAAACTGGTTGACATCAAGATAAAGTTTTAAGCATCATCAGGCAGTCTGCTGGTTTCAAATGGTCTGAGATCTGCATGCTTGAGGTCAGCAGTTTTCATCTGGTGACGGTCTACTTCCTGTAAAAACAACTTAGGAATGTGTGTCAGACCTCTGTCTGTATCTTTCGGGGAACTGGAAATTTGGTGACTCTCCTGTATGACTGATTTGTAGTCTAAGTTGTTACCAGTTTTTCTTATCATTAACTCTTGAACCAGCCTTTTGAGACTCAGGGGAGGCCTGGAAGACTAAAGCTGAAGCACTTTATTTCAAAATACTGGGACACTGGACTTTATTTTCAGGTGGAATGTTCTAGAGTTTCAGGTGGGATGTTCTAGAAATGTCAATTAGGTCAAGTTAATTAATAGTCCAAAATTATTTTTTATTTGCCAATTTAGCTTAGTTTTGTTTAATTTTTATTGAAGTATAGTTGATCCAAGATTATTTTTATTTTTCCTACTTTTATCATTCATGGAAAATTTCTTATTTAGTAGTACTTTTTAGCAGTGGTATCATTTCTTTTTCAAAACTAAAATGCTATTATTTTTTCCAAGTTTAAAGATAAAACTTGTGCATTATAGAAAATTGAGACACTTCAGAAGAAGACAAATTTCAGGTCAACCCAACCCATCTTACCACTGAGACTATCATTGTTAACATCTGATTCATATAAAATATGAAGATGTCATATTCTTTTTGTTTTGTTTTGAGTTAGCTTCATGGGTACTTTTTATATCTATAAACATAGACCTATCTCTTCTTTAAAATGATTATGTAATTTACCATATGGATGTACTGTAATTTAGTTAAGTGAAAGTGAAGTCTCTCAGTCGTGTCCGACTCTTTGCGACCCCATGGATTGTAGCCCACCAGGCTCCTCCGTCCATGGGATTTTCCAGGCAAGAATACTGGAGTGGGTTGCCATTTCCTTCTCCAGGGGATCTTCCCCACCCAGGGATCAAACCCGGGTCTCCTGCATTGTAGACAGACACTTTACCATCTGAGCCACCAGGGAAATTTAATTTAATTAAGCATTACCTTAAGTAAATGTTACATTGTTTCTAGTTTTTACCGTTAAAAACAGCACTTCAGTGAATAGCTTTGTAGTCCACAGTTGTTCACATAACTTTTGCAGTTACTGTGTATAAATGCAACCATTAAGAAAAAGGGTATGTATTTTTAAATATGTGGTTAAATTGTCACATCTCCTTTGAGGAAGTTTATACCAGTTTAATTTTTGTCTGCCAACAGTGCATGAGCATACATATTCCTGTGCTTTTGAAATTTTACTCTTTTTTTTTTTTTTTGGCTGTGCTGGGTCTTCGTTGCTGTGCTGGCTTTTCTCTGGTTGTGAGCGGAGGACTTCTCTTTGTTACAGTGTGTGGGCTCCCCCTCCTGGGGCTTGTCTGGTTGGGGCTTGTCTTTAGGGTGTGCGGGCTCAGTAGTTGCAGGTCCCAGCCCCTAGAGCACAGGCTCCTGGTTGTGGTGGGCAGACTGAGTTGCTCCTCGGATGTGGGATCCTACCAGACCAGGGATTGACCCGGGTCTTCTGCATTGGCAGGTGGTTCTTTACCACTGAGCCACCAGGGAAGCCCTGAAATTTTTACTCTTAAAATAATTTATTTTATCATTGTTCCACCCTGCGTCATGTATCACCTTTCCATTTTTTACCTTAAAAAGTGCAGTGGCAACAAGAGAATTGCTCGTGGTGTAAAACTCACTGAATTAATTGAAGTCCTTATAATCCAGGCAAGATCATAAACAGAATATAAAACCATCTATTTCCTAATCTAAAATTCAAAATATGCATATGAACTTGGATTTCTAAACATAAAACCTTGACTGACTTAAAGTGAATAGCAGGAAGAAACCCTGAGTATGGTAGCGGTGGAGAAGCAACAGACATCTCTTCCGTGGATCTTTCAGTGAGCATGTGATACCAGATGTTTGGTTCTTGCTGGATGTACCTCATTTTTCGCTCTTGGTTGCTACTCTTGGAGTCCCTAGAGGCTTCAGATAATTTTTGGCAAACTATGTGGTGGGTTTTTTTTTTTTTTGCCACACTGCAGTACTTGTGAAATCTTAGTTCTCCATCCAGGGATCAAACCTGGGCCCCCTGCAGTGGAAGCACAGAGTTCTAACAACTGGACCAGTAGAGAATTCCCAAAAATGTTTCTTTTTAAATCTGTTATCGTAGAATGGTGAGAACATAGTGGACATTTATTAGCTGAATATTCAGGCATGAGTTTTAGATTCTTTCAGAGTAGAATGCATTGACAGGTAAGTTTAATGCTCCTTATTTAATCTTTACTTCTCATGTTTTAAACTTACTAGCTTTCTCTTTTCTCTAAGAAGCAGAAACTTGTGAAACAGTTGCCTTTAACTTCAATTTGCTTAGAAACGGATTCCCCTGCGCTGGGACCAGAAAAGCAGGTAAATGATTTCCTATTTCTACATTATTTAGTGTATCTTTCATTTGAAATATTTTCAGTTTAGCTGTGTTTCTCATTACAGTGTAAATACAATGGAATTTTACTTTAGTGCTAGGCTGAAAGGTTATATTGACTTAAATTTCATCAGGTCTTTTCCAAATATGGCTGTAGTGCTCCAAAGAATATTATTTGCTATGGGTCACAACCTAATTTATGTAATATTGAAATCTAGACCAGTATAGTAGAAAAGCTTAGTGTCTGCACCTGAAACTACCACAACAGATTGCTCATGTTGAAACCTCAATTGGGCTGTTTACTAGCTGTTTAGGATGCCTTCTTATCTGTAAAAAAAGGGATGGTAATAATCATAGTACCTATCTCACAGAGTTATTTTGAGGATTAAATGAGAAATTCCATGAAAAACTTAGAACAAAACCTTGCCTATGATAAGCACTAAGTAAATGCAAGTTCTTATGTCCTTCTGCACTTTTTTTTCCTCCCACACTTTTACTTTCCCCATATATGTACACATAATATATTTCTCATAAAAATAGAATTAGCCTCAACACATCATCTCATATCTTGCTTTTATGTGGTGAACATATGTGTTTGTTAATAAATAAACACTTTTCCTCATTCTGGTTAATAACTATATAAATTTTAGCGTGTGAGTATATTTAACTGGATATTGCCATGTAGGTTGTTTGTTTCCAACATAGTACAGTTGACTCTTGAATAGTGAAGTGGTTGGGGTACTGACGCCTTCTCCAGCCCTGCTCCATACCATGGAAAGTCCGCATCTGTCCTCCCTCCTTGTCTTTAGTTTTACATCCCTGGATCCAGCCCTCGTTCACATGGTTCTGCATCCACAGATTCAACCCAAGTTTCGATTGTGCAGTACTGTAATTTTTATTGAAAAAACCTATGTATAAGTGGACCCACACAGTTCAAATCGTGTTGTTAACAATATAAAGAATGTCCTTGAACCTAAATCTGGATGTACGTTTTTCACTGTTTTTTTAACAGCCTATATTATCAAGGTTATTTTTTTTTAATCTTAACAGTTATTCCTCTGAACATTATCATCCTGAGTAAATAATAATAACAGTAATATATTTCATCAAATCTAAATGCCAGTGATTGTAGATGTACCACTATTTTGTGACCCTTAAGGGAAAAAACACTACCAATTATACTTTGACATGCCATTGAATGTCAACAAAGTATTTACCAGTTTCAGAGACGTTAAGATAGGGGAGAAATGTGTCGTAGAATCAGTGGAATATGGGTGCATAATCTATTTATTCCTGAGACACACGATGGCATGACTTGAATCACACCACTGTGGCCCGTGGGGTGCAGTGGCCACGCAGCAGAACACAGCCTTTACAAGCACTTGCTGAGGAGCAGGTCCCCAAGTGCCCACTGTGCAGACTGCTTCACGTGCTAGGTTCTGGGACCTCAGTGGTTAACACCCTGCCCGAGGGTATTGTGAGCCCTGTGTTTCTAGAGCAGCATAGCCTTGCAGTCAGTGTTGTAGCCTTAGCTTTCAGGCTGAAGTTCAGGCCCTTCTCCCCACCCCCATTTTAAAAAGAAAGAACCCATCAGTTGTTACCTACTCATTTTCATCTCTCTCATCCACAGTCTCCAAGGATTGCTTCCATCAAGTGTCACGGTTGATCCAGTGTCTCTTTGTTCTGTTTCAGGTACGGAACGAGCCCCAGAACATTTCCATTTCAGCAGAATATATTGCCCAGGTGAAAGGGGTCTCAGTGGAAGAAGTTATAGACGTGACAACACAGAACGCATTGAAACTGTTTCCCAAGCTTCAGCGGCTGCTCCCAAAATAGCCTCTGAACCAAACCACCTGCAGAGGGCAGTGTTTGAGAAAAATAAGTGTCCTGACACGTCTCAACTGGAGAAGCCACCGGAGAAGTTGATCAAGATAGAGAAGATTATAGTTTTAGAGAGAAGTTTCTCTCAGAAGGAAGACTGGGCTTAGATCCTGAAACCCTGGGTTCAAATTCTGCCTTGCACAGCTTTTCAGTTAATGAACTCATAGCAGGAGATGGGGAACACTGCTGCCTCTTACTTTGCCCGTTAAGAGCAACCATCCAATGAACTGAAACCGTTTCTTCTGGTGAGGGTGGCTCCCACAGATGAGAAATCAGCGCTACTGTGATGGCGTAGAACAGGCCACAGTTTGATTCTTTACCACCTCTTTGACTTCCCACAGGATTTAGCCAGTGACAGGAGAGTAGCTAGTTTCTTCTCCTGTCAAAATCCTGTCTTTTCTGGGTTTGCAAAACTGAACTTTGCATTTTGAATTCTCTCTCTAAGGGAAAAATGATCAAGGTTTTTATATTGATTCTGACTTGTGAAGCCAGTGGTTTGTACAATCATCATTAAACACCAAGCCCCAAAGTTTAGTTACTTGATTTTAAGTTCCAGGCTGAATTTTTTCACATGTTTAAAATGTAACTTCATTAAAAATGTATCTGACATTTTTGCATGCAGTAATATTTTGTATTCTTAAGTTTTGAAAATCTCAGGAGTGAAGAGAGTCTTGTACATAGTGGTGATGGTAGCACAACAATATGAATATGCTTAATGCCAATAAACTATACTGGTAAAAATTATTAAGATGGCAAATTTTGTTATGTGTACTTTGCTACAGTTTTTTTTTTTAATCTTAAATGTAGTTTATAAAGTATTGTGATTCATACCAAAACCTGAGTATTTAATTTTGTTAAATTTTATAAGCAGCAAACACTGGAAAAAGTACCTGCCAGAGAAACAACTTCCTAAAATCAAAGAGATTTTACATAATCTTCAAAATTTTGAAATGAATTCATTTATGGAGGCGTGAGGGTAAAGGGTCCCCAATCAAGTTGACCATCTTAAGAAGCAGAACAGGACCCTTTATGAGATATTCAGTCACTTATCACCATGTGACAGATGAAATTCCTACATTTAGTGGGAGGTTGTATTAAAACTAGATTTCTGAGTTCTGTTTTAACTCATCTCTTTTGCCCGTTTCCTACCGCCATCTGCTCACAATCTCTTTGTCAAATGTCTTCTCACCTTTAAATCCTTTAACATCCAACTTACATGACTTTAGCCTACACAGTCACCCCAGCTAGACATGTCTTTGCCCTCTAAACTGTGTAGCCATTTTCTTCATTTATATTCATCAGTTTCTTTCATCTGTTACACAAATAGTTACTGAGCTCTTCCTTCAGGTTGCCCACTAGTCTTAGGTCACTAGGCTACAGAGAAAAACACGGTACAGTTCTTGTCTTCAGCTCTCAGTTTAGTAAAGATTGACAAGTGGACAAATTTCAAAGCAATGTGAGAATTACTATAATTAAGGAAAAATGAAATGCTATGAAAACCAGTCTGATGACATTTAACACATGAATCCTTTTTACTAGGGTTACTTTATGTTTTTCACCTCCAGAGATGGTAAACCTTTTGACGGCAAACTATTTTTGTCTGCATCTTCTACGTGTCCCGAAGCAAGGTTTGCAATATCATATGTTCTCACATACTTATTTTAAATAAGTGAACAGAGATGGTCAACGGGAGGGTGGGATGGCAGAATAGGAAGACCCAGAGCTTACCTCCTCTCAAAGACACACAGATTACAACTATTCACAGAGCAAGTATTGAGGAGAAAGACCAGAAGACTAGCAGAACAGATCGTCTACAACTAAAGATATAAAGAAGGAGCACAATGAGGCAGGAAGGGCGGAGACATGGTATTGTCAAGACCCGTACACCCAGGTGGGCAATTCACAAAAGAGAGATGATTACAACTGCAGAGGTTCTTCTCAAGGGATAAGGGGTCTGAGCCCTACATCAAGCCCCCCAGGCCCAGGGTTCCTCCACCAAGAAGACGAGCTCCCAAAGTGTTTGGTTTTGAAGGCCAGGGTGGCTTACTTTCTGGAAACCCAGGGGTCTGTGGGTAATAGAGACTTCACTTTTAAAGGGCACACACACAATCTCACACACTCCAGGACCTAGGGCAGAAGCAGTGGTTTGAAGGGAGCCTGGGTCAGACCTCTCTGCTGACCTTGAAGAGCCTCCCAGAGAGGCAGGAGGCAACCGGAGCCCACTCTGGGGACGTAGGAACTGGCAGCGGCAGGTTTTAGAGAGCTGCTTCTAACTGGTGGACAGTGGTACTGGCAAGTGCCAGTTTGGAATCCTCCTTCAAGTTCATTAGCACCAGAACCTGGTCCTGCCTACCAGCCCGTCCGCCCCAGTACCAGGACACCTCAGCCCTGAGGACCAGCTCGGGGGAGACACAGCCCCACCCACCAGAAGGCCTGCTGTCTTAAGACCCCTTGAACCCACAGTGACCCTGGGACGCAGCCCTGCCCACCAGGACACCAACACCAGCCTCATCCACCGGTGGGCAAGCACCAGCCTCACAATCATCTGGGCTGAAGCCCAGCCCTGTCCATCAGCAAACCATCATACCAACCATGAGACCCCCCCAGGGCCCTGAAGCCAGAGATCCCGGGACACAGCTCCTCTCAGCAGTGGGCCAGCACTAGACCCAGGACCTGGCTTCACTCACCAGCAGGCAGACACCAGGCCCAGGACCCCCACAGCCCCATAACCTGCCATGTCAGGACCCAGCCCACACCGGCAGGCTCACACCAGCTCAGAGACACCTTGGGACCCCTCAGTCAGCCGCTGCAAGATTTAGTCCTACTCACCAGCGGGTCAGCACCAGCTTTGGGACACCCTGGAACCCACACGAAGCCACGTGGGTGGGTGGAAGCAGCCCCACCCACCAGCAGGCTGACACTAGATCAGGGAACCCCAGCCCACCACCAGCAATCCCAGAACCTGGCTTCACTGACCAGTGGTCCTGAGACCCCCCAGGACTCTGCAGCAAGCCCCTCATGGCCTGGTCCTGCTCACTAACACCTAGCGGCCTCTACACAAGGCAGGGCCTGGCAGCCGACCAGACCAGGGGCCAGCTGCACCTTACCATAGCTTCCACAGTACTCAACTTCCCACAACAGAAGGACCCACACAGTCCACAGAGGGGGCACCCCTAAAGCACACAGCTCTGGTGACCAGAAGGGATTGAACAGCAGCTATGAAAGGCGAATTTTCCAAAGTTAGGAAATGTAACCAATATATCGAATACACAGGAGGGAAAAAAAAACAAAACAGCAAATTAGGCAAAAGGAGGTAACAGAGGAATATGTTGCAAAAGAGCAAGATGAAACCCCAAGAGAGCCAAGCGAAGTGGAGATGCGTCATCTACCTGATGAAAAGTTCAGGGTAATGATCATAAAGATGTCCAAAGAACCCAGGAGAGGATTGTAGGAACAGAAAGAGAGATTCGAGGTTTTTAACAAAGAGTTAGAAAATGTAACAAAGAATCAAACAGAGATGAAGAATACAATAACTGAGATGAAAATGCATTAGAAGGAATTAACAGTAGATTAAATGATATGGAGGACTGAATCAGTGAGCTAGAAGACAGAGTGGAAATCACTGACACTGACCAGAAAAACGAATAAAAAGAAATGAGGACAGCTTAAGAGACCACTGGGACAACATCAGGTGTACTAACATTCACATTCCAGGGGTCCCAGAATGAGAAGAGAGAGAGTAAAGATCATATTTGAAGACAGAATAGCGAAAACCTTCCCTAACTTCAGAAAAGAAACATATAGCCAGGTGCAGGAAGCACAGAGTCTCAAACAAGATCAACCCAAACAGGACCACACTAAGACACATTGTAATTAAAATGACAAAAATTAAAAATAAAATATTAAAAGCAGCAAGGAAAAATCTACAAGTTACATACTACAAGAGAATTCCCATAAAGATATCGGCTGACTTTTTACCAGAAACTTTTGATCCCTGGTTTGGGACAATCCCCTGGAGAAGGGATGGCTACCCACTCCAGTATTCTCGCCTGGAGAATGCCATGGACAGAGGAGCCTGGTAGGATACAGTCTACGGGTTCGCGAAGAATCAGACATGACTGAGTAACTAACACATCCGGAGGTCAGAAGGGAGTGGCAAAAGAATGAAAGGAAAAGTCCTATAACCAAAAAGACTCTACCTGGCAAGTGTTTCTTTCAGATTTGATAGATCAAAAGTTTTACAGACAAGTGAAGGCTGAAAGAGCTCAGAAACAGCAAACCAGCTTTACAAGAAACGCTAAAGGGACTTCTCTAAGTGAAAAAGAAAAAGCCACAACTAGGAACATGAAAGTTACAAGAGGAAAAAGCTCATTGGTAAAGGCAAGTATGCAGTAACAGTGGTATATCAACCACGTATAAAGGAAGATTAGAAGACAGAAATAGTAAAATTATCTATATATGCAACAGTTAAGGGATACACAAAACAAAAAGATATAAAATATGATGTCAAAAACAGTAAACACTGGGGGAGTGGTGTTACAATTCTGGATTGTTAAAATGAACTTGAACTTAAGAAATCCACAAATTACAACAATCACATTGAGAGATTGCTATATATAAACCTCATCGTAACCACAAACCAAAAATCTATAATAGACACACACAAAAAAAGAGAAAGAAAAACATATAATAAAAAAAGAAGAAGATATTAAGGAAAGAGAAAGGAATCCAAACATAACAATAAAGGTAGTCACAAGGGAAGAAAGACTGCATAATCTCACTCTTATGTGGAATCTTAAAAAAAAAAATCAACAGACATAATAAAACAGAAACAGTTCTAGATACAGAGAACAAACAGGTGGTTGCCAGAAGGAAGGGGGTTAAGGGAGGAAAAAAACAAATTAGAGAGATTAAGAGGTACAACTCTAATTGTAAAATAAATGAGTCAATGAGAT